TTCAAAGAACTCTTGTCTAATTACGATGCACTCACTACTCTCGCATATGCATATCCATAACAAATTTTATACTATTACGTGGAAGCGTGTGACTGTGTCTGTCTATGAGAGCGAGACTCTCACGCATTATTATATTTTTTTTGCATTCAATTTGGCAGCAGCAATGACTCTGCATTGAGATGAGATCGTGCAATAAAACGGAATATTCCAATTAACAAAAGCAGACAAACAAAAAAATCAAGCAGTGTTGTTCTCAATTACATTTCCGCGAAATTGGTCAAACAAAATATTTAGAAACAAAAACAAAGTCTATTACTGTGTGAGTAAATCTATTAGCCACAATTTATAGATCTCTGTATAGATCGTAACAATTTGAAAACTAACAGCTAGAATATTCCATTACACGTGTGTGTGTGTGTGTGTGTTTGTGTGTGCATATGCCAAAATGCAGTCGTCTCTGAACCACATCATAAAATGCAACAATAAAGACAATGCAGATGCAAATGACGATGATGATGATACAAATAATGCTGATGGCAATTGACAAAGCACTCACACACACACACGCACACAGGGAATGCAGATGTGAACATTTTTGGCAATGCTCGAAACTACAATAAACAGATAACTGTAATAATGCTCTCCACTCGAATTGCCGGGTTGTATGTATATTTTTTTTATTGCTTTTGCTTGTTTGCTTTTGCGGCCAGTTAGGTCTCAAATGAACCGTATATTGCAGTGGGACATTGAGACCCCGTGCGGCACAGTTGTGGGCAAATAATTGGGGTAGGTTAATCATCAATGAACTGTGGGTGGAATATGTATGAAAAGGTGGGGTAATATCAAGGGACAACCCTTTTAACAATCCCATGTCTGATCGTATCCGATTTTTCTGCCCGCCACTGTAACTACAGCCAGAACCTGTGAATTACACTCGAAAGTAGATGGTTTCCCATCAACTAAGCCAGACAGACAGACGGACGGACAGACTGTAGGGCGGGCGGGACAGACGTGATGTGGGTGTACGACGGTGTACGGTTAGATTTACTTAAGCACGCATCGGTAGCAGCAGAGCAAAGGCCCCTTGCCTCTCTCCGTCATACCTTTTGCTGTGACTAAGCACACAGACACAGAGAGAGGGAGAGAGAGAGAGCACACTCCCACTCCCCCCGCCTTATGCTGCAACGCATGAACAAATATAGAAGATGTGCAGTTATTTACATAAAAGCTTTACAAATATGTGCACAAGCTCGCACAAGCTCGCGTGTGTGTGTGTGTGTGTGAGCATGTGTCCAACTAATCACGGGATCAACTTTTTAAAACCACGACTTTAAGCCCTGAGTTTGAGCTTGAGCTCCAAACGTCAGCATGCTGCTTCGGATGGTTCTGCTTCTTGGAATTTAAAAAACTGTACCAGACACTATGTCTACCGCACCGACGCCGCCTCTCGTTTTATTCTGGATTTTTCCTAACAATTGCAGAGGCAGCCTAGCAACCGAAAACCAGCCCAGGCCGCACAGTAATGAAAAGCAAAGTTGTGCAGCAACAAAAAAAATGCAGCTCGAATATCGGATGCCCTTTAAACTATAGGATAGATCGTTTTTAATGGCAGAAATATAAATAATTCTCATAAATTTTATAGTTCTAACAACTGCTTGAATTCGTTAGTACCTCGCCGAAAAAAGGGTATTCCAAAATGGGCATAAAAGTTAAGGAGAAAAAGGAAAATAAAGCAATCATTGCACTTGTCCCTCCCATCGCATATAGCGGCAGAGGCGGCGGCAGCAGCAGCAGCATAGGCGGTGGCAGAGGCAACAACAATATGGCCAAGGCCTTTCCTTTTTGCCTCCCTTTTTTCCTGATTCATTTCTGGTTGCTACGTTGCTTCAATTTAGCTTCGTTTCGTGCCTCTCTGCCTGTGTGTGTGTGTGTGTGTGCTAGCCCACAATGGGCGTGGCAGTCATTTCCCGCAATTACGCCTACACACAAACGACACAAAAAGGAGATGGAGATGAATGGGATAGGGTTGGATGGAGAGTGGAGAATGGAGAATGGAGGATAGAGAATGGCTGGGCGGGTTTGCTGGTTGCTCTCTGCCACCTCCTGATAAGCCGTATCTGCCACACAGAATGCAACAGCGAGCGATATGGCAACGCTGTGTTGTCAACTGCCACAAATACAGGCGCACCACGTATACGTGCCATGCCCAGAAGTATGCAACACTTTTTAAATGAATTGAGATGGAACCCCGGCCCGGCCTTCGGTTCGGAGCTAGAGATGCAACTCCAAACCCCTATTTTGGGCTGGGTTGGGTTTTGGGGGCGTGCTTGATATGAGGGGGTGTGTCCATAGAGTTTGTACACGTTTGATTGGGAGAATCTACGGATATCTTTGGCTCGAAATCGATGGGGGTTCGGTTAAGAAGTAACAGAGGTTGAAGAAAATAGTATTTTGGTCTATTTTTGTAAAGTTTTTAGTGATGAAATGATCCCAAAAGGAATCCAAATGTTAGTTTTGAATGATTTACGGGGTATTTTCATGTAATATGATCCTTAAAAAGAGCCTTGAAATCTGTTCCCGTTGGCTCACTTTGGAACCAATAAAAGTAGTACAAATTATTGGTATTTTATTCGCCTGCCTATTCCTTATGCGATTATAGTTTTTCAAATGCTCCTAAGGCTCCTTTGGTATCCTTTGAGCCTAACAAGAGACTTGCCACCCAGCGACGCCTCTCTCGTAGCGTAGGCGACTGTATAATCCATAAAGCTGCACCTTTACCCTTTCCCTGCAGCCCGCTCTGCACCTCTTTAACCCCTTCCCTCGTACTTGCCCCCACCAGCCACCTTCGGCCCTGCCACAAGTTCATCAAAGTCGAGGCTGCTGTTGCTGTGTGCGTGCGTCTGTTGTGTGTGTCTCCCTGTGTGGGTGTATTTGTGGTTGCCAGATGATTTTGACTTTTTATGCAACTGTACGCCTGTGTCTGTGTGTCTGTTTGGCTTTGGCATGAAATGTTTCAAGTGTCATTTATATTTCATTTTTACTCTTTTTTTTATACCCGATACTCAAAATGAGTATTGGGGTATATTAGATTTGTGGTGAAAGTGGATGTGTGTAACGTCCAGAAGGAATCGTTTCCGACCCTATAAAGTATATATATTCTTGATCAGCATCAATAGCCGAGTCGATTGAGCCCTGTCTGTCTGTCCGTCCGTCCGTCTGTCCGTCTGTCCGTCTGTCCGTCTGTCCGTCTGTCCGTCTGTCCGTCCCCTTCAGCGCCTAATGCTCAAAGACTATAAGAGCTAGAACAACGATGTTTTGGATCCAGACTTCTGTGATATGTCACTGCTCCAAAAATATTTCAAAACTTTGCCCCGCCCACTTCCGCCCCCACAAAGGGCGAAAATCTGTGGCATCCACAATTTCGACGATACGAGAAAACTAAAAACGCAGAATCGTAGAAGATGACTATATCTTCTAGAGTGCAAAATCTGAACCAGATCGTATAATTATTATAGCCAGCATCAAGAAAACAATTTCATTTTTTCTCGCCCTGTCTCTCTCTAACACACACGTAGCATAGGCGGCTTTGCTTAGAGTAAAACATTAGCGCCTAGATCTCAGAGACTATAAAAGCTAGAGCAACCAAATTTGGTATCCACACTCCTAATATATCAGACCGAGACGAGTTTGTTTCAAAATTTCGCCACACCCCCTTCCGCCCCCGCAAAGGATGCAAATCTGGGGATATTCACAAATCTCAGAGAGTTTTAAGGCTAGAGTAACCAAATTTAGTGTCCGTACTCCTGTTAGATCTCACTATAAAACGTATATCTCAAAATTTCGCCCCACCCCCTTCCGCCCACACAAAGGACGAAAATCTGTTGCATCCACAATATTGCAGATTTGAGAAAACTAAAAACGCAGAATCATAGATAACGACCATATCTATCAGATTGCTGAATCTGGATCAGATCAGATCATTTTTATAGCGAAAGGAAACAAATCAATTTGCAGTGGCTACTCAGCGCCCGACGTCACTTTCAGACTGATTTTCTGTCTCTCTCGCACGCACTCTTTGTCGTGTCGATTAATATAAGCGGCGTCTGCCGGAGGAGAGCCATACTGACTTAGTATCGGGTATAACTGTAGAGTTGCGGTGTCCGCAGCAACTCACAACGTTCCCCCTCGTTTAATGCTGGCAATGCTGGTCGGTCGCATGGAACAGTGGAGAGGAGGCCCTTCGGCCCTGTACCCGAAACCAGAATCCCAGAACCCCAGAACCCCAGAACCCCAGAACCATAGACCAGACCCAGACCCAGACCATTGGACGTCTGTGCAAATTAAAATGTTTCCGTTGTCGTCGTCTCACACACACACACACACACACACACAGAGAGAGAGAGAGCAAAAGCTAGTTTCGGGGTCGAAGCTTTTGGTACCCTTTAGAGGCGGTTTTTTGTAGGATAGGGGGTGGGTCCTTGGTCCTTCCTTGGCTTCCTGGCAGCATTGGTGATATCTAGCCTTAAAACAAAGTTTTTTTTGGAATATCTTTGGAAATAATAAAGATTTTCTTATAAAATATTATATAAAGACTCAATCCTAGTGTTCCGAGTGTCTTGTGCTGCCCCTTCTTCATTTGACCTCCAAGTCCCAATACGCTTCTCAGTAAGGGGTATCCCAAACAAGAAGGATGATGGCGAAGGATTATAGTGGAGCGTATATTTGTGTCGAGATTGAATTTTATTGCCTGCCAACGGGTAACCGGCAACGGGCAACGGGCGGCGCCAATGGCGGGGCAGTAGTCGGTGCCTGGTTGCAGGGTCGTCCTGGTTGGCTGGATCGCGCAGTGGCAGGATGTCAGAGTTGTCAGGATGCGGATTACACTAATTATGAAATGACATCGACATCGACAGCGGCGATGGCGACGGCGACGGCGATGTCGTTGATTTTAATGGTTTTCTGTTGTCAACTTAATTAACAAATTTTCTCGCTTTTCGCAGGACCAAAATCGAGAAGAAGCAACGATGCAGCAGTCCTCGATGAGGCAGTGGTTGTTGTTGGCGTTGTTGTTGTTGCCGCACTGAAGACACACACACACACACACACACACACATAGAACACATAGAACACGTAGAAGCCTCCATGTTGCACATGTTGCAGCAAGTAAAATGCTCAGCGCTGCCAATGCAACAGCCACAAATGCAGCAGGAGCAGGAGCAGCAGCGATTGCCGCAACCGAAACTTATGTCATAACAAACAAGAAACAACAACAGCAGCAGCATCAGCAGCAACAGCAACAGCAACATTTTGTTGTTGCCACCAACAAAATGGTGATACCTGCCACTGGAGCAACAACAGCAACAACTACATCCACAACAGCAGCGGCAGAAACAACGCAGCAGCAACAGCAACAGCAGCAGCAACAGCAACAGCAGCAGCAACATCAGCAACAGCAGCAACATGTACTGTTTCAGCCGCACTTGCATGCAACTGCAACAACATCCACACCTCAGCAACAGCAACAGGCACCACCTCAGCCGCGCCAACATCCCAAGAAGCGAAAATTTGATCCAGCAGAGCTGGACTCACATGTGAGTCCTTCGGCATTGAATTGCGGTGCAGGCGCCAGCGATATCAAGCTGCAACAGCAACAACAGCAACAGCAACAACGTATTATAATTGCATCCCCGCTGCAACATGCCGGCGGTAGTAGTACTTACAAGCAACATGTGGCATGCAGCAGCAGCAGCAGCAATAACAATGGCCATGCGGCAACAATCAATCATCAGCAACGCACACACACGCCCACAACGGCTGTCTACTACCAACAGCAGCAGCAACAGCAACAGCAGCAGCAGCAGCGTTTTATCTTTAACTCTCACAATCAGCAACATGTACAGGAGCAACATCCACAGCCGCAACAGCAGCCGCAGCAGCAGCAGCAACAACAATCCTTACTCGATCTCAGCGAGTGGAACAATACCCGTGTCCTAGCCAAAATCCATAATCATTATGCCCCAGGGATTATACGACAAGTGCAGGAGGCACAACCCGATTCAATACTCGTGGAATTCGATTCCACCGATCTGGGACTGCTCCTATATCCGGATGTGTTCCACAATGGACGATATCATGTGATACTCGATGCCAGTCCACCCATGGCCGATGTACGTACTATCCCTAATAGTCCTTTCGAATATCCTTTATAAAGAAATTTCGTGTAAATTTCCGTTTCCATAGATCACGCTGGGTGCCCGGGTCTGTGTGCGCCAGCGTGTGGAGGGACGTAGCTCTGGCAGCTTCGTTTATGTGGAGGGCATCATCACGGACATCAATCAGGCCACAAAGCAATACAGTGTCCAATTGTTTGGCGATGATATGGTAAGGTTCTAAGGGGATATTCATAGTATTTGCATTGAAAACTCTCCATCTTAGGCGCCCACAAAGGTTGTGCGTCGTGCGGATCTACGTCTGTTGCAGCCACCCTGGTGGGACGAGCTCAGCGAGCTGTCACCCTCCTCGGGGCCAACCGTAGCAGCAACGACAACAGGCAAGCGGAAGGCAGTGGAGGCCATGCCCGTGCCCGTGCCCGTGCCCGTGTCCGGTGGCAACATTGTGTACCCAAAGGTGGCCACAGGAACGCCCCTTACTTTTGTGGCCACACGGTACGACGGCAAGCTGCCCACGGCACCGCCCACGCCCACGTCCACCTCCCAGCAGCAGCAGCAGCCGCAGCCGCAACCGCATCTGAAACAAGAAGAGTATTACCGGACGACGGCCACATCACCGTTCCAGAGCGGTGTAGTGCCGACGGCGCGACCGCCCTTGGGGCTGGGGGGCCATGTGGTGGAGCAGACGACCACGGGGCAGACGGCGGTGCAGGTGAACGGCCTGCCGGACATAGTGATCTCTCCGGGAAGCAATGGGCAGCAGCAGCAGCACCTGAAAACCCAACAGCAGCAGCAACAACAGCACGACGACTACGAATCGGATGACGAGCTGAATGTGGTGGGTATCGGGTATTCGCCGGCTGCCGGCGACCTGGACACGGAGAAGATGAGCGCCTGCAGCAAACGGAGCAGCATGCAGAGCCGCGGCAGTACGTCCAGTCTATTCGATCAGAGGCTGACACCACGATCTCATCCAGCAACTCCAAGGTGCGACTCTCTCTCTCTCCCTCCCTCGCGTATTCCAGTGGAATATACTCTATGCTCTCTCACAGATCTCAGGCTACTACGCCGCATCGTTTCAAGAAGGGCGACATCGTGGAATCGGAGTCCGGCGTGCGCAAGAAGTACAATGGGAAGCAGTGGCGACGCCTCTGTATGCTCTGCACGAAGGAATCTCAGAGGAGGGGCTTCTGTTCGAGGCATTTGAATCAGAAGGGTAACAATGCCCATCCCTCGTCCACGGGTCCGAATCGTTTACTGAGGTTTGTCATCTGATCCATCCTATCTCTTGGCCACTTAACCCTTGTTTTTAACCCTTTTCAGTGATAGTCGTTCCAGCAGCAAGACACAGATCGATGAGGACACATCGCGTGACTCGGAGACATCGCCCAACTATCGGGTCAAGGGTCGCTACGATCAGGAGGACACCGATGCGGCCGCCGTGCTAGGTAAGTCTCTATATGTAGTCCTCACACCTTTTTGACTTTTTATGACCCACGAAAATAAAAGAAAGAGATAGATAGAGTGTCTAAGAGCCGCCTCATAAAAGCATTAAAATTGGAATTTGTGTGGAAATTTATTCATAGTTTTGAGCTGCAATTCATTTCAAGGCTGGTCTTTCCAGCCGCTGCTGCTGCTGGTGCCGCTCTCTCACACCAGCGCCAGCTTAACTGTTAATCTATCTCTCTGTTCACGCAATTACCCACACCACCAGGCAGAGAGAAAGAGAAACAAGGGGGAACGTGGTGAGTTGCTGCGAAGACCGCAACTCTACATTTATACCCGATACTTGGTCAGTATGCCTCTCCTCCGGCAGACGGCGCTGACATTGAACGACGCGGTAAAGATTGCGTGCGAGAGAGACACAAAGTCAGTTTGAACGGGTCGTCGGGCGCTTAATTTTTTTTTACATTTTTATACCCGATACTCAAAATGAGTATTGGGGTATATTAGATTTGTGGTAAAAGTGGATGTGTGTAACGTCCAGAAGGAATCGTTTCCGACCCTATAAAGTATATATATTCTTGATCAGCATCAATAGCCGAGTCGATTGAGCCCTGTCTGTCTGTCCGTCCGTCCGTCTGTCCGTCCCCTTCAGCGCCTAATGCTCAAAGACTATAAGAGCTAGAGCAACGATGTTTTGGATCCAGACTTCTGTGATATGTCACTGCTCCAAAAATATTTCAAAACTTTGCCCCGCCCACTTCCGCCCCCACAAAGGGCGAAAATCTGTGGCATCCACAATTTCGACGATACGAGAAAACTAAAAACGCAGAATCGTAGAAGATGACTATATCTTCTAGAGTGCCAAATCTGAACCAGATCGTATAATTATTACAGCCAGAATCACGAAAACAATTTCACTCTTTCTCGCTCTGTCTCACTCTAACACACAGGTTTCATGGTCGGTTTTGCCAATTGCAAAATATGAGTTCAAGGATCTCAGAACCTATAAAAGCCAGAGCAACCAAATTTGGTATCCACACTCCTGTGATATCGGACCTTGACCGTTTCCTGTCCAAATTTCGCCACACCCCCTTCCGCCCCCGCAAAGGACGAAAATCTGAGGCAACCACAAATCTCAGAGACTATTAAGGCTAGAGTAACCAAATTTGGTGCACACACTCCTTTAAGATGTCACTATAAAACGTATATCTCAGAATTTCGCCCCACCCCCATCCGCCCCCACAAAGGACGAAAATCTGTTGCATCCACAATATTGCAGATTTGAGAAAACTAAAAACGCAGAATCATAGATAATGACCATATCTATTAGATTGCTGAATCTGGATCAGATCAGATCATTTTTATAGCCAAAAGGAACAAATCAATTTTTAGTGGCTACGCAGCGCCCGACGTCACGCTCAGACTGATTTTCTGTCTCTCTCGCACGCACTCTTTGTCGTGTCGTTAAATATTAGCGGCGTCTGCCGGAGGAGAGCCATACTGACTTAGTATCGGGTATAACCGTAGAGTTGCGGTGTCCGCAGCAACTCACAACGTTCCCCCTCGTTTGATTTTTATTTTAAGAAAAAAAAAAATACAGATCAAAAATAATAATGGTCAATAAGAATCCACAATAATAATTACACATTAAAAATCAAAAATAATAATTATACTTTATATAATTATTAATTCTGATTTTTATTGATTAATTAATATTTTTGAGTTTTATTGTATAATAATTATTTAATAATAAAAATCAAGAATAATCATTATACTTTATATACAGTATATAATTATAATTTTTGATTATTTTTGATTTTTATTGATTTTGATTTCAATTGAAAAATTATGAAAATTTAAAAAAAAATAGGGGTAACGAAATTTCGAAATATAAGTTTTATAGTGAGATCGAACAGGAGTGTGGATACCAAATTTGGTTACTATAGCCTCAATAGTCTTTGAGATTTGTGGATGCCCCAGATTTTCGTCCTTTGTGGGGTTCTGGACGTTACAAACATCCATTTTCACCACAAATCTTATATATGCCTATGCTCATTTTGAGTATTGGGTATAAAAAGGGCAGGGCAGAGAGCGAACCTTAAGCAGAGCCTGACAGAGAGAGGCTTTCAGTCCATTTGTTTTTTCTCGCTCTGGTCATCTATCGCGGCGCTTCTAGAAAGATTTTGCATCTGGGCTTGTCGAGTTTTTAGTTACCCTTTTTAGAGAGTTTATTTAAGCCTTTAAGTAGGTTTGGGCCCGTAGAACAAGGAAAACATCCATAAAGCTACAACTTTCTCATATATTGCTCTTCTAGAGAGGCTTCCTCGACTAAGCTTCAAATTGGTGCAGTAGCACTCATGCCATAATAATCCCTTTGCAATAAAATATTTAGTTCAATTCATATTTTTATTTATTCAGAGCAGAACCTGATTAGTCCTTCGAGTAATCCTCGGGTTGCTTCCATAAAGATTTCTTTGAGTTAGTTTCGAAACTGGTCAACTCTATATGCACCCTTGCGTATCATATTCCCACTCCCTAATCCACTACTAATGTAGAAATTTGGAAGAATGTAGAAGAAAGAACAAGTTCTTTCATTCAGTTCAGGCCATAACCGGATTTCGAACCAAAACATTCTTTGGAAATGGTAGCGCACTTTAAAGCTGAAACACTCATCTCCTGTTGTTTGGGTGCGCTACTTGAGAGATTTTCACAGTCAGCTCAACTTTTGATGTACCCTACATATGCACACTCCCATCTTAATCCGCTACTAAAACGCATTTTGGGAATCTTGAACAAAGAAGCCTATTCTGCCTTCCATTCAGTTCAGAGACCCCAAGATATTCTTTGGAAATGGTAGTAGCGCACTTTGGGCAGTCACTATGGCTGAAACTTTCTCATCTCCTTCTAATGCTGTTTCGGGGTCGATGCATTTCCAATTCACCATAAAAATGCATATCATAAAATTTTATTGTGCCAGCGCCGTGGCTGTTCTCGTCGCGCCGTTGTGTTTTCCTTGACCATTTCACACACCTCAACAAAGGTCGTTTGTCGCTTTTCATGAAAGGTGTCGTGTCTGTCCGTCTGTGAGACCAGAAGAGGGGTCGTCGTCATGTCCCGATCCCCGAATCAAGAGCTCTATTGTTCCAGAAATCTTCTATGCTCTGTCGCTGCTGCGCCTCGGCCGCTGCCGCTGCCTCTGCCGCTGGGCGCTGGGCCACTTGAAAGTGTGACCGCAGCGTGATTTACACGCCAGACGCAGCGACGTCGACAGAGCGCAGCGGAGAGATGCTTACGCATTCCTAAGCACCTGCAGAGGCAGGGTATCCCAAGGAGAAGGTAAGGCCGTCTAGAAGTAAGGTAGCTCTGGTAGCTAGAATTGCTGTACAGGCCTTCTGGAGTTCGAGGAGATTGATAGAACTGATGGCAACTGAAGATCGGTGGTGGATTCCCTTACCTTTCATTTAATATACCCTTCACCTGCAAAGGTAGACACGCAATGATCGCAGCAGCAGCGACAGCGACGCCGCCACTTGAGACGAAACAAAGCAAAGGGCCAGCGGCAGAGCAGAGGCTGGAATGCTGCGTGCGAAGCGCAACAGATTCTTTTCTTTTCTTTTCTTGTTATTTGCTTTGCCTTTGATTCGTTTTTACCTAAACAAAAATGCACTTGAGAGCAGGCACGCACACACACATACAGACAGAGAGACACAGACATTCCCGGAGCAGGTAAACAGCTCAAGCCAGGAGAATCAATGCGGGAGAGTGCGAGCGAGAGAAAGAGTGCGATAAAGAGCGTAAGCAAGAGCGGCGCGGTGCGGCGCTCGCTCAATTTATGCTGCTGACGTCGCTGTCGCTGCCCTTGGTTGAGCTGTTGCTGCCGTTCTTTTGACGTCTTCGCTGCTGCTCTGCCTCTGCCACTGCCCTCCGCCTCCGCCTCTACCACACCACACCGCACCGCATTTTATGTTGGAAACTGTCAAGAGCACACACAGAGGCAGCGGCCAGAGCAGAACAGAACCGAACACAGAACGAAAAAGCAAACCGATGCGAATGCAGCACAAAACGAATCTGACGACGACGACAGAAAAGTGTATTAAATACAATAAAAAAATAAGAAATATCAGTAGTACATATATCTACTACATACATATGTATGTATGTACTAAATATCTGCATATACATACATATGTACAATATATAGTTCCAATGATATGTGCAAGTGAGAGAGTGTGATGAAAGTTTCCATTTGAGGCGAGGAGACCCGACGAACGTCATGAATGCGTTCCAGGATTTCGAGCTGGGAGCGAAATTATATTTACAGTGCTTATGTAATAAAATGTTTACTAAATGGAATCCACATACATAATTATAGGGAGTAATTATAGCACTAATTGCGATCTATCCCTCTCTCTGTTTACAGTATCCCTGAGCAGTTCACGCTCGGCCACGCCATCGTATACATCACCCGTGAATCATGCCGGCGCCTCGCCGCTAAATGCCATCGCCCACTCGCCGGTCAATGTGTCCTCGAACCATCACCACAGGCAGAACTTTTTCACGCCCATTGCTGCCACCAATCAATCCCAGCAGCAGCAACAACAACAACAACCTGCCGCGGCGACATCTGTGGCATCGATTGGTCCTTTGGATACGGGAAAATGGAAGACTACGCCCAGTCCGGTCCTTTACAATGCCAACAACAACAACAACAATGGATGGGAGGGGAACAACAGCAACAGTGGAGCATCAGGAAATGGAACAGGAGGGGGAGGAGGAGGAGCACAACCACTGCCAATGCCGCCACAAACAACGGCCGTATCGCTGGTCATGCATGCCCCACCGCCGCAACACCAGCAGCATCAACATCAACAACCACCTGCCGCACACCTCAATGCACTGCCAGGACCTGGAGCGCCGCCCAGCAGTGTGGGGCATGCCACCAGCGTGATACGCATCTCCAGCAGCCAGCAGCATGCGACAACTCAGCAGCAGCAGCTGCCGCAGCAGTCGCAGCATCCCCATCCTCACGTGGTTGTGTCTCAGAACCAAACGTTTCATCCCGTGATCGTGGATGCCACACAGCTGACGGTGACGTCCATGCCGGTTCAGTCCATGATGCAGCAGCAGGTGCCGCACACTTCGGTTTCATTTCATCATCCCAACACGCCCACCAACACCACCTCTGTGGCAGTCACGTCGATAGTGCATGGCCACGGCCACGGCCAGGGCCAGGGTCAGGGCCAGGAGAAAGTGTTGCCAAAAAACGGTAGGATTCTATATAGAAGTAGGATCAGCAGTGAAGATTACCATAATCTCTCTTATCCCGCAGGCTACAATGCGCCTAGCCATCCATGGTACAAGATTCTGCCACAAATGCCGCCCATGACCAAGGCGCCACAAGGTCCGGCCACACCGACAACGACAACGACCGCCAGCAACTACAGCGTGGTCATGATGCACCAACAGCAACAGCAGCAGCAACAGCAGCAGCAGCAGCCGTCGCCCCAGCAGAGCCCCTTGGGAGGAGGAGGAGTAGGAGGTGCTGTCCAACAGCAGCAGACGTCTCTGAATCACAACAACAACCATATGATTGTGCCGAATCCTATGTCGTCGCCCGGCAAGCCGCTCAACTGTTCCATGAACGATGCCAAGGTGGCAGCAGCTGCTGCTGCAGCAGCCGCCGCAGCGGTGACCCATCAGCAGGCGGCGGCGGTGGCGGTGGCTGCAGAGGAGCAGGATGACCAGCTGGACGACGATGTGTTCGAATCCACTCCCGCTCCGGCGGCGGCCATAACCAACGGAAAGAAACAGACGGCGGCCATGCAGCGGCAGCAAACGTACACGAGCAACAGCAATATCCGGAAGCTGGAGGAGTGCCATGACGACGGCGCCAATGGAGGAGCACCCATCACTTCGGCTGCCAAGCGGAGGAGTCAATCCTTGAGCGCCCTGCAGCAGCAGCAGCAACAGGCAGCACAACAGCAGCAACAGGCGGCAGCAGCATCGGCGGCAGGAGGAGCGGCTGGTGGACAGCCAGCGGCAGCGAACAAGAAGATACGCAGGCCGATGAATGCATTCATGATCTTCTCGAAGAAGCACCGCAAGATGGTCCACAAGAAGCATCCGAATCAGGACAATCGAACGGTCAGCAAGATCCTCGGCGAATGGTGGTATGCCCTGAAGCCGGAGCAGAAGGCCCAGTACCATGAGCTGGCGAGCGTCGTGAAGGATGAGCATTTCAAGCAGCATCCCGAGTGGAAATGGTGCTCCAAGGACCGCCGCAAGTCCTCCACGTCGACGGCTGCCGGCAAGGCAGGAGCAGCTGGAGCTGCTGCTGCCGCAGGCGATGCCAAGTCGCGTCTGGCCTCGGTGGATGGCTCCGATTCGCTGGAGCACGACATGTGCCCCAACACGCCGGGCGGGCAGGGCGATCACCAGGGCGACATCATCCCACTGACGATCGACAACTACAACAGCGCCTGTGATGAAGCGCCCACCACGATCTCTGGCGGCAAGGGGGGCAAGCTCCTGAAGAACGAACTGCACTCGGATGAGGACGAGCAGATGCTGGTGGTGGAGGATCAGCCGCCCTGCAAGAAGCTCGACCTGCAGTGTCGCGAACGTGTGAACGATTCGGACATGGATGATGCCCCCTACGATTACCGCAAGCAGCAACAGCAACAGCAGGAAAAAGATCAGGTACGGAATCGGTGGCCTGTCGAGAGGGAAGCACATTTTGATTATATTTCATCGTCCTTTGCAGCGCCCGCAGGAGGATCATGCGGTCGGTGCCAATGGCCAGGCCATGACTGCACCGCCGACTGGTGGCAGCGGCGGCGATCGCGAGATTACGCTCAAGCCGAAGGCAATCAAGGCCCATCCGGTGCTGGAGAGCACCATGCTGCCATATGCCCAGATGTCGATCTATACACAGTACACTAGTCCCAAGAATCCAATCGGTGTAACACCATTCCAACCCACAGGCGAGCAAACCACCCGCTACTCCAACCCCCCACTCAGCCATGCTCATTGCAGTCTCTCTTTTTTCACTTAGGCGGCGCCTTCAAGTCGATGCCCATCAGCCCCAAGGGCTGCAGCGGCAGTGGCAGCGGCAAATCCGACGAGGCGGCTGCCGCACTGCAGCCACATATCAAGCAGGAGGACATTAAACAGGAGCCACCATCGCCATATAAACTGAACGGCGGCTCGGCATCCGCCGCCGGTGTGGTCAGCAGTGCACCGCCGCAGAACAGTGGTGGGAGCTCCGGTGTGGGAGCCATCTTCAATTTCAATGTGCCAACAGCGACGGCCCTCAGCCAGAAGCAGTTCCAGTATCCCATGCATCACGCGCATCGCAGTCCCACGGACCTGAGAGGTGAGTAGTGTGGAATGGCAAGAAGAATAGCGATAGAAGATGAAGGCAAGGAGTGAAACGAATAATAAACAGTGGGTTCTGTCAGACTTTAAGGCAGTTGAAGGGGAGATGAGCCAAATTTTGTATTACTGCCACAGATATTCCTAGATATTCAATCAAAAAAAGTGCATATTCCATTTGGAACTCTGCTTTAAAGAATCTCTAACCTCTCAGCTGTCTTACTGTAACGAAACGCACTGTATTTGATTGGCAATTCATTGAGTTTCGTATCTTTTTCATTGTAATTGAAGGCCGTCTGCGCACTGCCCTTCAAAATGTAGAATATTTTGTACTCTTTTATTTATTTATAATTTTCAATAATTTATTTTTCTTAATTTTAAGTTGATTTTAAGACTTGGAAAAACTATTGGAATTATTTCTACTATGATTTGTTGTGTGTTCTGCATAGATTGTAGATTTTGTATGATTTTGTTTGTTGTTTTTGAGTTTTGGAACAACAAAATTTGTGGGAAAAACATTCCAATCACCTGCATCGATCGCATCGCCTCGCCCCCTCACCCACCTGTCGCCGCCGAAAGCTTTTTTGGTTTTTTTTTTACGGGCATAACATCTTTCTCTCTGTTTCTTTCACTTTCTCTCACACACACTCACACTGAAACTCTTCCTCCCACGAACACAATAATGCTCTTCCTTTCTGTCGATGTCATCCATATAATTACACATGCCTCCACACACACACCCACACATACCATTTGAAAAATCCACCATAAATCGAACATAGAACCAGAAGAGAATGCAAAGAATACGAAGGGAGAACCAGCTGCAACAGCAGCAGCAGTCCATGAAAACGATGACGAGGAGCATGAGGATGTGGAGGACCTCCTGCTCGACGAGGAGGATGTGGACGACGACGATGAGGACGAAGATGATGACGATGATGATGAGGATGATGAGCAGTTTATGCAGGAATTGGCCAGTGTTAATGCTGGTGCCGATTTCGATGATATCATCCACTATACCATACCAAAAGTGAGGGCTACACCGACACCAACGCCCACACCGCCACCAGCAGCGACAACAACAACAGCCACAGCTGACACAGCAACGAAAACAACAACAATTATGGCACCCATCAAGCGGAAACAGTTTACGATTGTGCGATCCCTGACGCCGTTGCAGCCATCGCATTCGCCACACCAACAGCTCAAGCATTTGCATCAGCGCCGCGTGGAGACGCCACCAACAGTCATAACACGTGTGCCGACACCCACCATAAATCATTTCACGATCATAAGAGCACAACCATCGTCGAATCAGCATCAACATCAGCACAATACACCGCCGCCTTTGTTTTTCAAGCAGAAAGTTCACCAATCTTCACCAATCATAACAACAAGCATTCCAACAGCATCCACATCATCCACAATAGCATCCACATCTACAACACACAATAACGAAGCCCTTACTAAGTTTTCCAATAATTCCACGCCCATTATACGAAAATTGTTGACTCTACAACAACAAGATGGTCATCACAACAACAACAACAACAACAACAGCAGCAGCAACAACAATAAGGGAACAGGCCGTGCGGCCATACTGTACGATGCCCTCGTGCTGGACACACTCCATGGCCAGGACGAAGACGACCACGAAGACCTCGAAGATGGGCAGGAAAAAGCCGAAGGCAGGGATAAGCAACGAATGAGCAAAAAGGACCCAACCAAAACGGGAGCCACAATGCTGCTGATCACCGACTGCAATGCGTACAGCCAGCAGCAGGGAACACCGGTATCGGGATCGGCGGCCACCCTGCGGCCCGTCTCGTTTATCAGCATCAATGCGTGCAACAAGATTGCGTTGCCGGCGAATGCCCGTATACTGACAGCGGCCACGGCCACCACGACAGCGGGTGTGGCAGCCACGGCGACCAGCCAGGCGGGCGGAGGCGCCGCCACACTGACGGTACTGACCAAAGCGACAACGATGTCGGCGTCGGGGAAAGCGGGAGCACCGGGAACGCCGGGAACAGCAACAGCAAATCATAGTACTAATAATGCCAATACAGAAATAACCATAACAGCGGCTGCTCCAGCCACTGCCACCAAACCAGTGGCCGGCAGCAGCAGTGGCAGTGTCATGAACAACAAAAACTCATCTACAACTCCTTCCTCCTCCTCCTCCTCCACCTCTGTCTCTCTGTCTACTGCAGCAGCCGCCCATCAGGCCTGTGTGCCCTCATCGCCGGCGGCCATGAGTCTGGGACATGCTGCCAATATGGCCACACCACCGGCCTCCGCACCAGCACAGATCATGGGTGCAGGTCCAGCCCCAGGCCCAAAGATGTTCTTTGCCATGACAAGTCAGGTGAGTAAATGGAAGGAGAAAGCAAGCCTTCTAGAGAGTGAGAATAACGTTTCGATTCGTAGTACTCCCTGCTGCCGCGATCCCATCAGCCGGGGACACCCTCGCTGGAGCATCTGCAGCTGGAGGCCTTTGCGGGCAGCTATATATTCAAGAATCACAACGGACTGCCGCCACCAGTCAGTGCCCAGCCGACAATGCTGCTCCATGGCTATACGCCGAGTCACAGCGCAGAGCCGCCGGCGAGTTCGCCCTCGTACAAGTCGATGCCCTCCACCCCGAAGTCGGCGACATATCACATGAGTGCACCTCCGCCAGAGCGCGGCAGCCAGGAAGGAGGCGAGGAGAGCGACATGGATGCCGATGGGCAGCAGTTCATATTGGCCCCAACGCCGGCACAATTGGGACGAGCACCGCTGCAGCGGCGCAAGAATTTATGTGAGTAGATCCCCAGAGCGATTCCCTGGGAATCCATCGGAACTAATGGCATTTTCGGCTTTTTTTTGTTTTGCAGCTCAAAGCAAGTCGGAGAGCAATGTTTCGTTCGGAGCGAATCTGGGGGCCAGCAATGGGGGTGGTCAGCACATCAGTCGGAAGCTGCACTCCCCCACAATGATGGATGCCTCGTCGCCCATCATTGGTCATGTGAATAGTTCCAGCCTCAGTTCGGCACTGCCCACGCCCACCTCCTCGACAACGACGCCCAATAGCGATGAGCAACTGCCTCTGACGCCCACGACGAGCAACAGTAACAGTCAGCCCAAGTCTCCGTTGAAGGGGGTGTCGGCAGCGGCGGGGGCAGCAGCAGCAGCGGCAGCAGTGGCCCACAAAAAGAAGAACGATGAATTGAACAAGTGCGTGGGACACAGAATCACCTGCCAAGGGTTTTACTAACCAGTTTTTATGCCATTCACAGCAGTGTACTCAAGCAGGTGGACTTTGAGAAGAAATACAAGGCACTGCCGCAGTTCCAGCCAGAGGATTGCCAGTCGCCCAGTGCCATAGCTGTGCCCTCCTCCCCGCGAGTGTACGGAACCAATTATCGCAAGAAGAACACAGCGCCAGTGCCAGTGCAGAAGCTAAGTGAGTGGCGGAGGAGGCAGGATCTCCCTGCAAACCAGCGAACCTTTTATTTACTCGTTTCTCTTTCGGATACTTTGTGTTTAGTTTGCGAAGATGATTCCATTGATGAGCCCGCCTCGGCACCGCCAACCACAACGCAGCGCTTCTTTGGGCCCGACTTTAACAACGAGCTGAAGGGTAACATAATGATAACGTTTTCCTGTGCATATCCTCTATGTATAATGTAGATCAATGTTTTACAGAACTGGAGAGCTCGGATCAGACGGGACGGTCGCCCCGGACGCCCAAGACGCCGCTGCAGAGTGCCAGATCGGATGCCAGCGAGAAGGGGCATCGCAAGGTGCTGGAAACGCGTCGCAATTTGGTTATGCAGCTGTTTGCCGTTCACGGCAACTTCCCAACAGCACAGGCCACAATTGCCTTTCAGGTGAGTCGATCATGGCATAGACTCCTTGTCTCCTCGAAAGAGACTCTAATTTTGGTTATTTATTTCGCATTCCTTAGACCAAGCACATTGATGTGTTTCCGCGCAAACAGGATCTGCAGCTGAAGATACGCGAAGTGCGACAAAAGTTGCTGGGACAGGCCTCCTGCACACCGCACTCGGCCGGCCCCAATACGCCGTCCGACTCGAATTCGTCGTCGACCACGCTGAGCGCCAACAGTGCACACACCACAAACGCGACACCGAATGCGGCAGGTAATTGGAGGGCGCTCTGCAAATATCTTCTACCCAAGAACTAAATCTGTAATTTCCCCTTTCAATGAATATCTTTCTTTGACTTTCTGTTCGTGCGCTACCCCTTCAATTCGATTTGTTTGTTAATTTAGTTTCCATTTCTCAATGAAAACATTGTTAAGATGTTTTTCAATATTACTAAACGGCAGGTGTAAAGGAGCAGCAGCAGCAGGACTTGGAGCAGCATTCTCAGGGCAAAGCAAATGAAACGTAGGGGAGTGGAAGCACAGGACACGCCAACCGAACCGATTGTTTGCTGCCAAAAGTGACAAAATTACTTAACGATAGAGTAAACTCAATGAAAGCAGCAGCAACGTCAGCACACACTCACGGAAAAGGAAAGAAGATCAACAGATACAGATACAGCTCATGCATGAGATGCAGATGGATGTTTAACTAGTTTTTATTCAATGGAAAACAAAAATAGAGAGAAAAAAATTACAAATTTTTAATTACAATAGGCATACAATACGAGTAAAACAATACAATACAATATACAATATATGTACACCAAGCAACAAAGATATCGATAGGAGAACCGATTACGAATGAATTTATTAAGCAGCTTAATAAATCACAAGATCATAGACGGATAGTAGACGGAAATTTTTGAATAATTGGAACTTTTGAAGCACATATGAAGTACATGCATACCACATACAAGAAGAAGAAAAAAAAAAAACTAAAACCAAAACAAAAAAAAACAAAATCGTGTAGTAGAGAGCATAAATACATAATGGAACGATTGTATAATCCCCCGCTTAAACGATTAGGTTGATAATTTACAGAAAGAACTGCAACAAGGAGACGGAGATTGAAGTAGCTTTAACCTTAAATTGCACATTAATTTTTGAAGTGTATTTAGCACAAGTAAAAAGAAGAAAAGGCAAAGAATTGTATAAAACAAAAACTTGAAAAGAACACGTAGTTGTATTGTATATTTAGACGTAAAATTTATAACAAAAACACAAGATGAAGAGAGAACAAATCTATGCAAAAAAACAAAACACAAACACACTTCCAAACACACACACACACACATCAAAATGCTTTTAAAATGTTTGATTTTTGTTCTTAAAGCTTTTAACTTTTTTAAATTGTATGTACATTTTCCTTTTTAAATTGGCTTTTTACACTTGTTGTCTTATTGAATTATAATTTATATATATATATATACATATTTGCATATATTTTTACTATTTTTAATATTATTTTAGCGTAGAACACTGTTTTTTTTTAAATTGTACACACACCGAAAAATAAAATAATTATACATACAATACAATTTATTACACAAGAAATATGAAGGAATAGATCATAGAAATGAAGAAATGAATGAGAGAGCGAGAACTAACTGTCTTCCACTGTTGCTGCAATATACTATTTAATATTGTGTTAATATTCAGTTGAATTAAATTAAATTAAATTAAATTTAGTTGTAAATTAAAGTTAATTTTAAATGCAATGCGTGTGACTGCACCACCCTCATACAAATCCACTCGTTTGGTAAAATTTACCCTGTACTCTGTGGCTTGTTGATTGATTTATTAAATGTCGTATACAAACGTGTGTGTGTGTCTCTATAACTTAAGTTCTTTAATTTTAATCCGTTTCAGTCACACTTTCTATGTATTGTATAGTTTTTGTGTTCTACTATCCCAAGAAGCAACAGTTGCAGCCCCACAAACAGACAGACAGAGAGACACGCTTGATATGCCAGAAAAGTAAATTAGTAATGCAAGAAATTATAGTTAAAACACACACAATATTCATATAATAGTTAGTGCAATCAGGGATCGTAATAATGGCGTTTTTTATTCAATTTATTCAATGTGTCTTCAATGTTATATCTGTCTTTAAGTTGGTGTTAACTATCCTCTTTTCTTATGCCAGCTTAGATCTAAACTGCTTTCCAAACCCTTTGCTCAAAGATCGTCTCTTTTCAATAGCTTTCTGTTTTAATTCCTGTACAACTGTCTTCTACCATTCTCATCACTTATTATCATTACGTTCCCTGATTGCAATCATTTGAAAACACTTGCAATAAGTGAATAGAATGTGAATGAAAGCGTATGCCGCTTCCATTTAGTTTTATTCATTGCTGGATAATGCAATTCTAGAAACTAACCAATTTTAAACACCAACTCACGTAGGCTTTTCAAATTATTTTTATATTCATAATTTAATTATAGTTTATTCATTATGTTTAGTTCTTAATTATCCATTAGTTACTTGTATTAATTAGAGAACAAACAAACGAAATTTTATATGATAAAAACCACAAAAAACGAGAGCGTAAATTGTAGTGTGTTAATGTTTAAAAATACAAATAAAAAAAGAAGAATACAAAACAAGAATAAAACAAAGTTTATAAGCAAATTCCAAAAAAACCGGAGGTGTGAACTTAATTATATTTAGTAGAAGCAACCAACCCCGTCTATCCTGTCTATCCCCCCAGCAAAAAAAAATAAAAACCTTGTGCCAATGACAAAGCTAAGCAAATAAAACAGATAATATTCAAGTAGAATATCATACGATCCCCAGTAGAAAAACCAAAAACATGTTTGTCAATTAAGTCAAATGCAGCACAGAAAAAACGAGATAATTATTTTGACCCTTACCAAGCATTGAAGGAAAAACTTATACAAAGAAACCTCTAAAGGAACAACCACAAAATACATTTTTGGCAACAAACATTTCGGACTAAGAAAAATGAAACAAACAAGCAACAAAGGGAAAACAAAGAGACAACTTTTGGCAATTACAAAAACGAGAACTTTTTGCGGAAACAAACTCAGTACAGAACAAAAAAAAAAACATGACAAAATAAATGGCGTTTCGGATACAAAATTCTAAAATTCAGGTATAAACAAAAAAGAAACAAAAACAAAAAACAAATACAGATAGTGTTGTATAATGTTTAAAGACAATTTTTGGAACAAAGTATAAGTAAAAATAGTAAGAATAAATTAAAAGAAAAACTATTTAGCTATTTATACAAAAAAAAAGAGGTGGCGACGATGTGGTGTATGTGTACAATTTATAAGGTGCTTTTACAAACAACAAAATATTTGGTAGTGAAGCGAAGGTCGGCCGATTCCTCCCCCCACTCCCCCCAGAACAAATCTCTATATAATATATTATAGTATACATACATATATATTTTTGTCAGAAAAAGGCATCAACTGTATTTTAAAAATGCTTTTAAAAGTGGAATGACTTTAAGAACGAAAGGAGATCTCCCCCAGAGAGTGGGGGGGTGGGGGCTACAGTACTCTTGTAATTCAGTTGTGAGAAATTCGCACAGTTTGACGATGGATCGTGGTGGGGTTTTTTATAGTTTTTAATCGAGGTGGGCGTTTTTTAATCGTAGCTAAACTCCCCCCCACTCGCTCCCCATAAGAACCTAGACCTAAAATATACATCTACCATATACCATATACAGGCATATAACTGATTGATTCAGGATTGATGAAGGCATTTCTAGGGGCAATCGAAGGTTACACCATGTTGTTTGCGGTTTGTTTAGTTAATTGTTAAAAGATAAACGCGAAAAAAGGAAGGAAAGCAAATGATTGTTTGATTGCACAATTCTAAAGTTACAATACAAAAAAAACCCATTGAGTTTGTAGTGAAATTTCAAGCCTATCATTTGCAATTGACCTGAACGCTTTGTAAAATATGTATTAACAACAAATTACTATATATACAGATATATATACAACTTATTTGTGAAGTTAACTCTTAAGCCAGTTATTGTGAAACGAAACGTATTTTGTAAGCGAGAAAACCACACACCCCCACACCCCCACAGCCCACAAACCACACACGAGACGCGAAATACAACAAATATTACAATACCATATACAAGTGCATATACAGGATAGAATAAATACAAATACGGAATATTTAATTAACTCGGAGTGAAGCTCTGAGAAACGAGGCGGGGGGCTTCGAAGGTAAATCTTTAATTTGTTAATCTGTCCTCAGAGAGAGAGCGATCTTTGCATCGTAGCACAGGGTAGCCCTTGGACTCTCAAGAGCTTTACGGTCCAACACCAAGAACCCACTCACAAACACACTCAACACACACGAACATACATATATTTATACATACATATATATATAAATACATATATATATATATACGATGATAAATTTATTGAATAAAAAGAAAAATATGCATTCATAAAATGTCGATGTTTCAATCATTTATTGCCACCATTCTTAAGGGTATAATAATTTAATAGGAACAATTTATAATGAGATTAACTAAGTCTTGTTCGCTTTGGCACACGATGAATACTGAGGGTTAGGAGTCTTATACCTCAACCACTTCCACTGGAACCTCATGGATCAGATTTCTGGCCGAAGACAGGACACTAATGTCAGCGCAATTCACAAAATTCTCCTGAGCTCCACAGCCCATGGCTCCCGTGCCATCCTCACACACGCCCCAGTTGTTGCCCGCCGTGTAGGTCCAGCGGAGGACACAGTGGCCGCAGTTCAGATCACTGGGAAGCTGAAGAGTCACCGGAATATCCCCCGTCCGGGTGTTGATGTTGTACTTGAGATTTCCATCGGAAAACTTCAGCGGAATCTTGTTGAAGCACTCCTCCGATTCGCTGCCATTTTCATCCAGGTTACAGATGTGGAAGCTAAAGTAGCCCAAGTGATTGGCCGTGATCTTTACGTTAATTTCAGCCTCGCTTAGGCCCGCAAAGGTCCTCACAATGATGCCACTGCCGTATTTGCCACCCAGTTCGTTGGGTCGCGGCTGTTCCAGACTCCAATCATCGCCGCAGAGACCACAGCGTCCTCCATTTTCGGTTTGTTTCTGCAGTGGAAATCGGAGAATAGTATCGTGGATATAAGCAAATTATTTCGTTTAGTAATCCTACCCAAAAGCCACCGCAATACAATCCGTTATCTTCGTAATTTTTGGGAGCAGAAGAGTCGTAGCGCCATCGCGAAGATCTTCCCACGGGATCCAACATCATACCATGGCCCTCAAGCTCTCCCACCAGGCAGAAAGCACTCAGACTTATGGTCAGGATTACTTTGAAGTATTTCATTTTTCTTTCACTTTCACTAAAGTGTGATTCCGATCTGTCCTGGTGGAAGGCTTATATAGGTCCATATTCCTAAAATCTTATCAGTTGCCGGGCGGTTTGTGCTTGTTTTTGATTTTTGTCCAAAAGCCGCTAAGAATTCTTATCACACTATAATCTCCCCCATATAGGAATGCTTGTATATGCATTTTTATGGTTATTACTCAAAATTTGGGCGAATCGTAGTATCTGACCTCGGAAATCGTCCAAAAAGCTATGACACATATAAACAAGATCCCAGTTATTGGCAATTGAATCATTCTAATGCTAATGGTTTGTTTATAACATAACATTGTTTTTTAACACAAAGTAGGTCTGCTTCGACAGAAAACCCCAATGCCAATTTGATAAGAGTTCAATGCATGGGGTGTATTTCACGTCCAAGTGGAACTTGTTAACCAAGGTTGAAAGCGTTTCAAGTATATTATGGCCAAGGGATTGCTATCGGCTATGTAATGCGGTGATTGAACCCGTAAGGAATTCCTATAAAGATAAGAAGGGTTTTTTCCTCGGAATCACCTCCGGAAGTAAGAATGTAATGAAATTCTATATAAACTATCCGTACGGTCTATTCAGAAAGACTGCGATATCAGTTGGTAAAGTTCTCAAAGATTATTGGGTTGATTCAAATTTATAACGAGCGCTATCGAAAGCTTGATTATCGATTGGTTATTTCAAGTTCTTTAAGGCATACTTTAAGGCCTCAGCTTCAAACGGCTCTTTTTGAAAAATGTTCAGTTCTTTATTTAACTTTGGCAAACTTTTTGGTGTTTGACACCTTCAGACTTTGATGGCAGTTCGTTGTTCGCTGGGTATGGAGTTCTTAGGCCACCTCAACGGGCACCTCAACGACATCGACATCAGAGGCAGCCGTATCCTTGAGAATGTTACGGCCCCAATTGATGCTCACATCGGCGCAGTTCTTGAAGGTTTCCTGGGGTCCACAGCCCAAAGCTCCATTGCCGGCATCATCGCAGATGCCCCAGTTGTTGCCTAAGATACAGAGACACAGAGGCATATCAATCAGTGGTAGAAAAGAAACCCCTTTGAGACATACCTCCAACATAGGTCCAGCGGAGGACACAGTGGGTGCAGGTAAGATTCTCGGGCAGGAGAACAGTCACATCGAACTCGTCTCTCTGTTCACCAATGTACAGCCGTTCACTGCCATCGGGGAAGCGCAGGCGGTTCTGATTGAAACAGTCTTCGGACTCCTGGCCGAAGGCATCCAGGTTGCACAAATGGAACTCGAAGTGGCCCAAATGGTTGGTGGTTATCTTCACGCCCACGGTGATGGCATTGGAAGCGGGATAGCTCCTGGTAACGACACCATACCCACCAATATTTCCTCCGATCTCATTGGCACGCGGCTGTCCATCCAAGAAATTGTCGCCGCACAGTCCGCACCGATTTCCATTGTTGGACATGGTCTATAGGGAAGAGATGTCTGGACTTTAATCCATCTGCTCCATTCTGGAATATCCCCGCTTCACTCACATACAAACCACCGCAGAAGAGTTCATTGTCGTTCCAGTTCTGGGGAGCGGAACCATCGTAGCGCCAGCGGGACGAGCGACTCGGAGGATTCAGCATCATGCCGTGGGCATCGATCTGCTGCAGACCGATGGCCATCAGCAAGGCAACACTGAGCAGGTACTTCATGGTATTCAATTTCGTTTGGTTTCACTTTCACAATGCCACCTGCCGAGCCGGGTCCATGTTTTATATGTGTGCCTTCTGCTCCTGTCCGTCCGACATACCTTATCATTTCGATTCGAGAGTTTTACAATGGCTCTTGGCATGATAACGCTCTGTTGATAATAATATCAGATGTACTCCCGGTCAACAGTAGCAGAATCGACACTCCAGATCCCGATAGGCCGCCTCGGATAAGCATCTCTATGATACGCATAGCAAAATATTCATAAATACGTCGAAAGCTATGAGGAATCGCGTCAAGATTGCCAAAAACCACTACAAGCACTTGTATTTATAGATTTTGCGATCACATTTGGGTTATCTGAATAATGTTGATTGAATTAACGTTCCTCAAGTATTTCCAATTGAAATTGATTGGAATGAATGGTTTGTTTTGGGTTCATTTCTAGCCGCGCTCAGATTTCCTTTATAGCCTTATCAGTAATAGGTATCATATATTTTAGCTATTCGAAATGTTGGGTATACAAGAACATGAGAACGATCAGATCGGCGAACACTTCCAAATGTCGATTATGCTTTACGCATCAAAGGGTCAAGGGGATTTCTCCGATCTACTCTGAATCCACGTTGTCCTTGATATCAATCCTTATAGTCCTTAATGTCAATCTGGGTTGGAATGATTATGTTCCTATTATGAAAAAGCGTATCCCGTCCACATCGGGTCAGAAATGGCAAGGGAATATCCATATGTTTGAATGGAAAAATTGCCTTGATTCTTGTAAAGGACTCCATCAAAGCCCTTATAAGCCATAGAAAACCTTGATCGGACTATAAGTAGCTGAAAAGCCTGAATATGACTGACTTGCGAAATATCCTTGATCCTTGTTAAGGACTCCATCAAATCACAAGAAGCCATCGCAAGCCTAGATTGGCCCATAAACAGCAGAGAATCTTCTAGCCCACCTTCTATTTTACATAGCGTACATAGCGCCATGACGTTTTTCTTTGGAACTACGGCATCTACATGGCGGCGCAGTGGCGCTCCACGATGTCTGTTAATGTTAAAGTAAATGTTAAGTTAATGTTAATGTTATGTGCGCATGTTAATGCAACCCCGTTGCCCTAACACACCTTGTGAAATTGAAATAATATCCATGGCAACGGTCCCAGCAGGCTAGGCTTGTCCTGTGCACTCGGGCGAAACGTCAACGAAAAGGCCGTCTGTCTGGAAGGAAACATCAACAAAAAAGGAGCCTCAAAGTGAAAACAGATTCAGTCAAACTGTATCGCGGAAACACACACACATACGCTAAATACCAACGAACGCGGTGGCGCCAAGTTTAAATTTTGTTTTGCAAATTGTGCGAATTAGTATTTTGAAATTATTCAGTTATTCTTACAAAAGAAGATGATCCATCGGAACAAGACGCCGCGGTATCTGGCCGAAGGTGATACGAAAGACAAGGACGATCAGGTCTATTGCGTGGTGCTGCATGTCGTGGAGGGTAAATGGAAATACAAAGTACTCAGATGAGCACTACTCCAACTTATGTTTATTTTCCCATTGTTTTAGCCATCAATTTTAATGGACGCGATGGCGAGCGGGAGACCATTATGATGAACGCAGCCCTCAATACGGTGGACTTTGAGGTGGAGGGCACGCCCTCGGCGACGGCAGAGACGATCATCTTCAACAGCAACTGCATCTGGGAGTGCGACATGGCGGCCATCAAGCGGATCAAGACGGACCACCGACCCGTGAAGCTCACCTTTTTCACCTGCAGCAAACACTTGCAGCGCAAGGCCATTGGAACTGTGCTGCTGCCCGTGCGAGGACTCCCCGTCATTGCCTCGTCGGGCAACAGCAACTCGCTGCACCTGAAGATGTTCTGGCACAAGCTGATCTGCATCAACACCCAGTTCCGTTCCCACAAGCCCGAGGTGCTGCTCCTGCTGGCCATCATCAAGAAGTCCATTCTGCACAACGAGGACTTTGAGCATCTGATGCAGGTTTCCCATGTAAGCGGACGCCATCCCTCCCCTCCTATGGCTTTCCGTGCTAAAATGTACCCTTTCTGGTTCCCATTTCAGAGCAAGGGGACAACCAATCCCACTGGGCCACTACAGTCACCAGGTCACTCGATCACTGCCAGCATGCTGCAGTCACAGGCCAATGTATACGTGCAATCACTCGTGCAACTGGGTCTGCTGCAGGTGGGCAATGATCCACTGATCGATTGCGACATCATCGAGGTGGTGCTGCAGTTCAAGACGCTCAAAAACCTGGCCAAACTGGTCAAGTCCCTCAGCCACGGCAAGCAAACAACCAAATCAGTTACCCTCGTGTTCGATTTCGTTGGAAATGTGACCAGCATTGAGCTGAAGCCCAACGACTCCGATGCCTACATCCTGAACGATGTGCTGGGACTCCGCTTCAAATCCTCCCTGCGCAGCATCCGTCTCTACTTCCAGCGGATATTCTACTTACCCATCAATATGTACTTGAATGGAACGGCCATTGGTGAGTACTGGGATATCTTAGCCCCTCCAATCCCTACTTACCATGAACTCTCCGCCTCAGCCAACTACCGCATGGACTTTGGCAAGCTGCTGCCGGCGGATAGCTACTTCTTTGATAACCGGAAATTTGTGCGCAATGGCTGCTTCACCTTCAACCGCTTTGGGCGCATGGACAGCTCTAGGGACTTGAAGCCGCAGATGGAGTACGCGTTTAGTGTGGAGCTCAAGGCCATCTACTCGCGCCCGACCTGCGCTTTGGAGGAGTTGAAGCACGATCGGCCGCCAGACCCTTCTGCGCTTTCAAAAGAACGGCAGAGTGAATCCAAACATCCGAAGGATGAAAATGCCAGTCCTAATGTGGTCGCTGAGGCAACAGATGCTCCATCGAATGCAATTATGCCCTCGACCGATGCGCAGAACTCCGGGGAGTCTGCTTACACGAGCAAGGACCTTCAGCGCCGAAAGAAGTCTACCCAAACTGAATTCGAGCAAGACATCGAGGAGGTGTGTGTGGTCAGAAGGCATTCCTCAACGAAAATCTTGCGAAAATCAATAGAACCGAAGAAGATTAGCAGCAGCCCAACATTTCAATACTCCAATGTTTCCAATGCTACTGAATGTCTAGCCATATACGGCAATCAAAAATTCAATAATGACATATCAAAAGATCAGAACAGCGAAGTGCCCAAGGAGGAGCTCATAGGGGAAGGAAAGGAAAGGGCAAAGGCTTCGAAAAATGTAGAAAGAAAGGAATCCGAAAGAGCTGACCAGTCGTTAGTTCCACCCAAAAGACCTAAAATAAATGCAGAGGCGACAGACATTAAGCCTGGCAAGGAGTCAGAACAAGCTCCCTCCATGGAGCAGTTGACTAAGCTGCTGGGACAGGAGGTAGAAAAGCTTTCAAAGAGTGTCGAGATTTTCGAAAACAGAAGCCAACAAAACTTGAGAAAATCAACAAAGATGGACAAAGTACCTGCTGAGGATCTCTCTGAATCAGATTCAACTCCATGCTCCGACTCTATTGATCAACCTGATCTTCGGGTGCGCAGAAAACATCTGAAGAAGGCCTCGAGAACGAAACTTCCATCGTCCAAACAAAGGTCTGTCCTGTCCATCAACCAATCACACAGCAAAGAAACGTATGATCGAAGAGTCTCCTCAGGACAGAAACGATTCGTGCAGGAAAGTATTGATGAAACGGCAGCTAGCATAGAGTCAGTTTGGTCAGAGGATTATGCCACCTCGATGGAGAGTCCGCAAAAGACATTCAGCGTTAAAGTAAAGCACAGCGACTTGGATATCAGTAGTGCCTCGGTGTGTGAGGTGTTCAATGTGCAGCATGGTAAACGCAAGTCGAAATTCAAGGTGCGGCCTTCCGAGGAACCAGAGTCCAACCAGGAGAAAGTCCCAGCAAAGCCAAGGGCCCCAACGAAGGGTAAAATGTCCACGACTGAGCTCAGCCTGCGGGCACGTTGGGTCGAGGTGAACAAGATACAGGCGCAGGCCCTGGACGAAACTGAAAAGTTCCTGGAACAGACATGCCAGGCCGAGCTCCGCAAGGTTCTGCAAGAGGATCAAGCGGCCTTGGAGCAGCCAAAGTTAGTGGAATCGAAAAAGAAACTCAGAAAAGCAAGGTCGAGTAAAGTGAGAGTTCAAAAGGATCCCGACTCTGACAATGTGGAGGTGAAAGAGCATGTTGATAATGCGAAAAAAAAGAAGTCTGTACTGCCAGTGGAGTCGTCAGAGCACTCACTCTCAATTGTGAGTTCTGAGAGCTCTTTACAAGTCATAAGCTCTCAAGCAAGCGAGCAGCGTATAAAGCGGATGATCAAGAAAATGAAGGCATCCAAGACCACAATCCAGGAAGAAAAGATCGACCACGAAACGTCAAATGAGGTACCAGATAAGCCCTTGAAAAAGAAATCGAGGAAGAAAATACCTGTTGTAGTTGTGGAACCATCGGAGCAGAGGGAAGTTCAAGTTCAAGATAAGCCCAAGAAGAAAGTCGTTAAAAAGAGGTCAAAGCCCGTGATTAACCAGAAATCAGATGATCTTTTAGCGGATGAGAAGACATCATCCAATAAATGTCTAAGGGAAGACAGTACCCTCAAGTTACCCGAACGGACGTCTTTTATGAGCGCTGTGGAATGTTTAAGCCCTAAAGACTTTGGTGAGAAGTTAAAGTCCTGGCGCCAGCATCAGATTAGGCTCTTTGAGGAGGAGCTAGCGGGCAAGGAGCAGCAGTACAAGAATGAACTGGAGAAAATGGAATACCAAGAGCTAAGCCGGAACACTACTCTCGATGAGACTTTGGCCAGCAACCAGGCGAGTAAGGACACTAGCATCGATTACGAGGCAAAGTTGAACGAACTGGAGCAGCACATATGCACGCTGAAGAGAGATATCGAGGAGCAGGTGCAGCTCTTTGATAAGCGTAGTCAGGAAATGCAACAAGAGAACAAGCAGCTGGCGATTGAGAAGAC